CCCAGGAACCCATAAGCAAGCACAAAAACAAACTATCTATACAAAATACAAGGTCACATAACCCAAAAATCTGCACAGTCCACATATACAGCAACTCAAATGAAGCTCGCATATGAAAGCCCAGGCAAAAGAGAGCAAACGGCTTAACGCGCACGTAGCCCACAAAGCCTGCACACGTAACTGAACACGCACCCAGCCCATAAAGCCTACCCACGCAACCAACCCACCTAACGGCCCACACAAAAACCCACTCACACTGCCCAAGCAAACTGCCCACAGATACAGCAACAAAATCTATGGCCCAACATCAATAAGCCCACCAAAACCCTTATGCAACAGTCTAGTAAAAGCATCCCGAACCATCTTCTTATAAACCCAACCCACCTCCATTTAATCCAAGTCCAAGGGGACTCCATGCCCAAAGCCCATAACCGTTAATAAAAACACTATCCATCCTTTGTGTAATTTGATATCAAACATGACAAAATTCAACTGACCTGGATGACTCTTCCATAGTTTCATGTATTAACCGTTTCCCAAAAGTGGTGATAAGATATATGTTTGCTTGGTTTGGAGGTATGAGAAACAAAAATTAATAAAGTATGAGAAAAAATAAACTGGACACCTATTAAAGAAGTCAGCATTTATAAAAAGAAATGTCTACAGCTAGAAAGATTATTAGTTTATAATAACCAAGAAAAGAAGGGCTGGATCATGGGTGCATTACAGTATCCCAAGGTTCAGGAACTTTGTTGGATCATTATTTCTTCCTGAAAGGCCACAAAACCTTCTAAGCCTGCAGCTCCAATGATGAAGAAACTAAAATGACAAGTTCATGCACTAGACAAAAATCACAAAATGCTAATTGCTATGTAAATGTGAAGATTGAAACGATGCCGTGTTACTTAACTAACTAATACGCTGTCGTTTCAAGAATAAATCTGGACCATCAATCTTCATGAGATCCAACGGCAGAGATCAGTCCATCCTGGTCAACGATATATAAGCAAATGAGTCTTCGGTCTTCAAATAGTTTCTCGATTGATATACTATGTATTAGGTTTTGCTTTGCTAGGGTTCTTTATCCAGTTCTGAAATCTTGAATCTGTGTAACTTGTTGAGTGATTGTGTTTATCATTCTGGTAGAGGGGTATTGTCTCTCTAAGGGCTGGGAATCTGAATGTTAGTTTCCTAGGTTGGTTGTTACAAGATAGGTTGATTTCGGGGGTTTCTTGGATCGTTTGATCGAGCGTCTGTAATTTGTAAACTGGTTCATAAATTAGTGTAGTGAGCTTCGTCCATTTCTGGAGCTCAACGTGGACGTAGCCTTCCCATTTTTGGAAAGGTGAACCACGGTAAAAATTGTGGTGTTTGATCTTTTTGTGGATGCTTGATTTGATAGGTTCTATATTAGGTTTGTGTGTGTGTTATTACAACAGTGGTATCAGAGCTAGTTACATTAGAGTCTAGTGTGAATTCGAGATCCAAATCTAAGGAAATTAGAATTCTAGGGCTTCGACGAATTTGGGGGTTTTCTAAATTTTTGAGTTCTAGGGTTATTAGGAGTTTGTAGGTTATCAACAAACCAGAAATAATCAAGAATCGAAACCGATTTCTGATTATGAGCACCATGAGTTCAACCTGCATGGAGATCTCCCAGTACGATGGGAAGATAGACTTCAATTCTTGGAAGAAGAAGATGAATACCCTACTTTCACATAAAGGAGGGATTGCACTCGAAAAGGATGTAGAAAAGTGGCCGGCGGACAAGTTAAAGAGAAAGGCAGAAATAGACAAGGAGGCGTACAACTTGATCGTAATGAATTTGGCAGACAACGTGCTGAGAAAGGTGGACGGATTGGAGGCTCCAATCGCACTCTGGGGTAAACTTGAAACTTTGTATGCCTTATAAACTGCACCAAATCTTGCTTTCTTAAAGGGTGCACTATCTTCATATAGAATGGACAATAGTAAGTCAATAGAAGATAATATTGATGAATTCTTGAAAATGACTATAATCCTAAAGGGCACTGACCAAGAATTAGGAGACACAAGTTTGGCAATGATCCTTCTAAACTCACTGACAGAGGACTACCAAGTAGTCAAGAATGCTTTACAGTACTCTGGTATTGTCCCTAGTATAGATAGTATCAGGACTAAAGGCTAGGGAGTTAGAGTTGAAGGTTCAGAAAAGAAGTTGGAATAATTTGTTTGTAAAGGGTAAAACTAATCTAGGAAGTTCCTCTAATGGTATGCAAAGAAACACATGGTCAAAGACTAAAAAGAAAGGAAAAGGGACTAATAAGAAAGGGGAGACTAGGAAATGTTTTCACTGCAATAAACCTGACCATTTAAAAAAGAATTGTTATGATTGGATTAGAAAACAAAAATCTGTGAACACTGAGAGTAATGTGACCTGTGCTGAAAATAATGTTACTGATCTAGAAGTACTCACTGTGTCTAGGACAGATCAAACACATGATTGGGTGTTAGATTCAGGATGCTCATTCCACATGAGTCCTAACAGAGATTGGTTCCAGGACTTTAGGGGGGGCGAATATGAAACTGTTTTCACGGGTAATAACAATACCTGCAGAGTGTTAGGAATAGGTAATATAACCCTAAGGTTGGATGATGGAAAACTCATTGTATTATCAAATGTTAGATACATCCCTGAATTAAAAAAGGAACCTAATATCCCTAGGTACACTAGATGAATCAGGCTGTAGCTATATGGCTGAAAGGGGTTGTATAAATATGTTTAAGAATAACCATATTGTGTTGAGGGGGCTGAAGAAAAATGGTTTGTACCTATTGTGTGGCAGTTATCACCCGGAGAAAGGGAATAGTGCCTTGGTCTCAGCCAACCTTAATACTACTGATAAATGACATCTAAGGCTAGGGCATATGAGTGAAAAGGGCATGAACATTCTTAGCCAACAAGGTTTATTTGGTAAAGATAAAATAACAACCCTAGACTTCTGTGAAACCTGTGTTTTAGGAAAGCAACATAGAGGTAGCTTCACTAAAGGTATACACCTATCCAAAAACTATTTAGACTATCTCCATGCTATCCTCTGGGGACCTGAGAGAGTTAAACCTCATGGAGGGAATACTTACTTCCTCTCCATAGTTCATGAGACCTCATGGAGGGAATACTTACTTCTTCTCCATAGTTCATGACTTCAGTAGGAAAGTATGGGTATACCTACTGAAGTCCAAAGATGAGGCATTGTCTAAGTTTAAAATCTGGAAAACACTAGTGGAGAATCAGATAGACAGAAGAGTAAAAGCCTTAAGAACAGAAAATGGACTAGAGTTTTGCAATGTGGATTTTGATAACTACTGTAGGGATCAAGGTATCTTAAGGCATAGAATAGTTAGGAAAACCCCTCAGCAAAATGGAGTTGCTGAGAGAATGAACAGAACCTTGCTAGAGAAAGTCAGGTGTCTCCTGTTCACTTCAGGCCTTCCAAAAACTTTTTAGGGAGAAGCATTGACCACTGCTGCCTATTTAATAAACAAAAGCCCAAACAGCTCCATAGGATTCAAATGTCCAGAGTCTAAATGGTCAGGGAGGGACTTAAACCTAAGTCACCTAAGGGTGTTGGATGTGCTGCATATGCACACACAAGTGATGGGAAACTAGAGCCTAGGTCCATAAAGTGTATACTTTTAGGATATCAAGAAGGCACTAAAGGTTATAGGTTATGGGATAGAACTGCACCAGGGGTAAAAATCATAATTAGCAGAGATGTAATTTGTAATGAAGGGGATTTCCCCTTCAAGTTTACTAACAATGATGCAGGTTCTCCAAGCAACAATGAAACCCAACTAGATCAACCGGACACTACATCAGTTGAGGTGAAGGCAACCATCAGACAACCAGAGGTTACCTAGACTGAAAATGATCTTGCACTAGAAGAAGCAACAACACCTGATAGACAAACCAACATGAAGGAGAAACAAAGGAGGCACAAGACCCCTTGCTTGATGAACTGCAGGAATACCAATTAGCAAGGGACATGACCAGAAGAGAGATCAGGCCTCTAGCAAGATATTCATATGCAGAGCTGATCCATATAGCCTTATTGGCAGGAACTGAAGTACTGAGAACAGAACCAGAGTCACACTCAGAAGCAATTACTTCAAAGGACAAGCACAAATGGTGGCAAGCAATGACAGAGGAAATGAATTCTCTAAAGGTAAATGGGATTTGGTCCCTTGTTCCTAGACCTAAAAATCAAAATTTTTTTCAGTGTAAATGGTTGTATAAGATTAAGGAGGGTAGAGTAACAAATGAACCACCTAGATACAAAGCTAGATTGGTGGCCAAAGGGTTCACCCAAAGGGAAGGCATAGACTTTAATGAAGTCTTCTCTCCCGTAGTCAAATATAAGACCATTAGGATGATGTTGTCTGTTGTAGCTCACCAAGACCTAGAGTTAGAGCAACTTGATGTAAAAACAGCTTTCCTTCATGGGGATTTAGAAGAGCAAATCTTCATGGCCCAACCAGTAGGCTTTGTAGATAGTCTACGACCAGACCATGTGTGTAGACTGCATAAGTCCTTATATGGACTTAAACAGTCACCCAGATAATGGCATAAAAGGTTTGATTCCTTTATAATTAACCTAGGATTCACTAGGAGCAAATATGATAATTGTTTTTACTTTGCCCTGAAAGATGCCATGCCTATTTACCTGCTGCTTTATGTAGATGATATGCTCCTAATTAGTAAATGAAAATCAAAGATAACTGAATTAAAGGCTACACTCAATTCCGAATTTGATATGAAAGACCTAGGAGTGGCTAGGAAAATACTTGGAATGTTTATAGATAGGGACAGAAGTAGGAGTACCCTAAAAGTTCACCAAACACCATATCTATAGAAACTAGTCTCTAAATTTGGAATATCTAATTGCAAGCATGTGTCAATGCCCCTGTCTAACCATTTTGTACTGTCTAAGTCACAATGTCCTAAGAGTTCTACTGAAACCATGCAAATGGAGACTGTCCCTTACTCAAATGTGATAGGATCAGTAATGTATGCAATGATTAGCACCAGACCAGATTTAGCCTTTGCAATATCCTTGTTGAGTAGGTACATGTCAAATCCAGGAAGTGATCACTGGATTGCTCTGAAATGGGTACTCAGATACATAAACAGTACTGCATGTATAGGTTTAGAATATTGCAAAAGAACATCTACACTTGATCTTGTGGGGTTTGTAGATTCAGACTTTGCAGGTGACAGGGATAACAAGAAGTCAACCACAACACATCGTTTCACTCTTGGAGGGAATTGCATCAGCTGGAAATCACAACTCCAACCTCCGGTTGCTTTATCATCAACTGAAGCAGAATATGTGGCCCTGGCAGATGGTTTCAAGGAAGCTATATGGATGCAAGGATTACTGACAAAAACTGAGCTGACTGATAGCAAAGTGACTATCTTCTCTGATGGTCAAAGTGCTATACTATTAAGCAAGAATCCTATATATCATGAAAGAACAAAACATGTGGACGTAAGGTTTCACTTCATCAGAGACCTAATCACCAAAGAGCTGATTGAGCTAAGAAAGGTTCCCACTGAAGAAAATCCAGCAGACATAGGAACAAAGATTGTCACTCCAGCCAAGTTCAAGCATTGCATGAACTTGCTATTTCTTAAGTAAGCAGGATATCAACAGAGCTATTAGGGAATCAATTGAGGCTCACTGCACTAAAAGGGAGTCAAGTGAGAAAGTTGGTTTCAAGTCTTCAAGGTGGAGATTGTAAATGTGAAGACTGAAACGATGCCTTGTTACTTAACTAACTAATACGTTGTCGTTTCAGGAATAAATCTGGACCATCAATCTTCATGAGATCCAATGGCAGAGATCAGTCCATCCTAGTCAATGATATATAAGCAAATGAGTCTTCAGTCTTCAAATAGTTTCTCGATTGATATACTGTGTATTAGGTTTTGCTCTGCTAGGATTCTTCATCCAGTTCTGAAATCTTGAATCTGTGTAACTTGTTGAGTGATTGTGTTTGTCATTCTGGTAGAGGGGTATTATCTCTCTAAGGGCTGGGAATCTGAGTGTTAGTTTCCTAGGTTGCTTGTTACAAGATAGGTTGATTTCGGGGGTTTCTTGGATCATTTGATCGAGCGTCTATAATCTGTAAACTGGTTCATAAATTAGTGCAGTGTGCTTTGTTCGTTTTCGAAGCTCAACGTGGACGTAGCCTTCCCATTCTTAGAAAGGTGAACCGTGATAAAAATTGTGGTGTTTGATCTTTTTGTGGATGCTTGATTTGATAGGTTCTATATTAGGTTTGTGTGTGTTTTTACAACATGCTCCAGTACTAGTACTTTCTTATATGAAATCCTCTATTTGCCTTCATGATAAATCAGTTCAAAAGCAAGAATACCATCAGTGAAAAGGAGTACAAATCATCTATTAAATCAAATCTTGTCATTTACTTTCAGGCCTCCCAATCCAGAGCCCATAAGAACCACACATTCAATTCTATCAAACTCTTCAGTGACTTCTTCTGTAACTCCACGATCCGCAAAGGCTTTCTTGCCAGCAGTGAGAATATAAAGCATCAATTTGTTTGGCCTCTTAGCATCTTTTGGTGATAAGCATAGAGACTTGATCTTTCCAGCGACTTTCTATTAGAGTAAGAACAATGTTGTAAACAAGGTAAATTGAAATTGAAAAACCCAAAAGGCATACAGTGGGAAACATTGAACAATCAAAGCTCTCTATCTCACTTAAGTCATTGACACTTTTGAAATTTTATGATCTTTATTCTAGTAATTTAAATTAAGGTTAAATATATCAAAATAGAGAATAAATTTAAAAGTGAGAGGTAAAAATCAATTAGTAAGGGGCTAAAAATCAAGTGCCAGTTGTGTCCCAATGGTAAAAGAATACATTTGGGTCTTGTCTATTTGTTGGGCTGTGCTGCACTGCTACAACCAATTTTACTTTATTGGGCCCCAAAAATTTAAAATTTTTTTTTTTCAAATTCAGATAAAACTTTCCCTAAAACAAACCCTACGTCAATTTCAAAATCCCCAAAATACAGACCCAACAATTCTCCCCAAATTTGCTTTCACCACATTCTCCAATCACAGCCTGTCCAAGTTGCCGCCAAACAGGTTTCACTTCAGCCGATCCTCTTCCACCACCACCGCCAATCTCAGCTGTGCCCCTATTGATCTTGACCTTAAATGGTTGTGCGCCAGCTGTTCCTCTGCATCACCACCACGACGAGTGTTAGTCAAGCTGCTCTAGGTCACCGAACTTAGAGAACCAGAGATTATTGAACTTGCATCACTCCCTTATAGACGACGAGTGTTAGAGACAGGCAAAAAGGAAAACTTATTAGATGTGGTACTTTTAGAAGTGTTTATATTGCAACTAACAAATGTGCAAGTATGCAGAAGTTTTTTTCTTCTAGTTGGTTCTTGACTTTCTTTCTTTGAGTGAACACTAATAATTATCTTTCTTTCTATTTTATGGGCTGCTAGAGAAACTGGAGCTTTATGTGCAATGAAGGAGGTTGATATCATCCCTGATGACCCTATGTCTGCTGAATGTATAAAGCAGTTGGAGCAAGTCACTATCTCGAGTCCTTTCTCATACAATTTAGTTGGTTACAAAATAGTTGCTGTTTAAATCACTTACAGAGGAATTTGCAGATTTGAATTATCTGTCGTATTCATTCCATTTCACTTACGGATGAAATGGAATGAATATCTAGATGCTTTTTTTTACGGAAGAAATTGAAAGCTTATGACCTATCCTCTTTGTGAGAGTGCTATCCTGAACTGAAATCTCCTAAGCAAACAAGTGGAGCAGCTGGTTTGAAGATGAATGGCAAGTCTAGGCAAAAACTGTTGTTGTTTTTCAATTAGTTGCGTTTGTAGGGATTTTAACATTGGGGATTCTTTGTCCTTTTTGCAAACTTTTTGTTTTGGAAACTTTAGTTTAATCCCCCATACTTTATAAAATCCCTAAAACACCCCTACTAATTTGAGCCTAGCTCCGCTTGCGAGCTAAGCTGAGTCGAGCCGAGTTTGAACTCCGCTCGTGCCCTCTCACAAATCGAGCTGTACTCGAGCAGAGCCAAGCTGGCTCACGAGCGTCTCACCTTGTTGAACAGTCTTACAGAGGCCTGATACCCTGTATTACTCAGTTTTTAAGCCAACAATGGATCTTGATTGTGGGTAAATCGAGAACTATTTATGAGCGTTTTCTTTTCCGTCCAATCAATACTAAGGTTAGGTAAATGGCATGCTCGATCTAGTAAAAAATATGTGGATAAGATGAGCAAAAAGCCGCATATACCTCATTTTACTAAGTTTTTCTACTGGTAATAGATCTCGATTGTGGGTGAATTGAGGACTATTTTTGGAGCGTTTTCTTTTCTATCTAATTAATACTAAGGCTAGGTAAATGGTAAGCTCAATCCTTTTGAAAATCTCTAGATAAAACAGGCAAAAAGCCACATAGGCCCGATACCCCATTTTACTCAGTTTTTCTGTCAGTAATGGATCTCGATTGTGGGTGAATTGAGGACTATTTTTGGATTGTCTTCTTTTCTGTCTAATAAATACTTAGGTTAGGTAAATATCAAGGTCGATCCTGTTAAAAATATGTGGATAAAACGAGCAAAATGCCGCATAGGCTCGATACCCCATTTTACTCAGTTTTTTAGCCGATAATGGATCTCTATTATGGGTGAATCGAGGACTATTTTTGGAGAGTTTTCTTTGTTGTCTAGTGAACATTGAGGTTATCTAAATAGTATTCTTGATCCTATCAAAAATCTATGGATAAAATGAGCAAAAAGCTACATAGGCCCGATAAATTGAGTGAAATGGATCTCGATTTTGGGTGAATAAAGGACTCTTTTTGGTGCGTTTCCTATTCCATCTAATCAATACTGAGGTTAGGCATGCAGCATGCTCGAGCTTGTCAAAAATATGTGGATAAAATGAGCAAAAAGCCGCATAGGCCGATACCTTATGTTACTTAGTTTTTCAGTAGATAATGGATCTTGATTGTGAGTGAATCCAGGACTATTTTTGAGCATTTTCTTTTCCTTCTAATCAATACTAAGGTTAGGTAAGTAGAATGCTTGAGTCTGTTGAAAATCTTTGGATAAATGAGCAAAATGCCGCATAGGCTCGATACCTCATTTTACTCAGTTTTTCAGTCGATAATGGATCTCGATTGTGGGTGAAATGAGGCCTATTTTTGGAGCCTTTTATTTTCCGTCTAATGAATATTGAGGTTAGGTAAATAGCAAGATCGATCCTGTTGAAAATATGTGGACAAAATGAGCAAAACGATGAATAGGCCTGATACCCCGTTTTACTCATGTAAGTTATTTGTTAACTTATGAATCTTGAGTGGTAACTCTCAATCCTAGTATGATCACCTCACCTTGTCTTAGCACATTCATTTTGCTTAACTTCCAATATGACCACCTCGTGTTTAAGGTGACCACCTTCCTTTATGTTGGTTACCTGCCTTATCGAGTGACCACCTTTGAGTCAGAGTGATCACAACGTATCTGGCAGTTTTTTTGGGCAACATGTGTCATCCTTCTAGAATGCATGAGCTTTTATATTCTCTTTTGATATATTTGTGTGGTCCATAACACTTGTCAGATTCATATTCAATGTGTTGGAAAGTTTTATTCTCTTTGATAGGTGGGATCTTGATATTGGACTAAACTTTTATAAGGGTGAATTAAATAAAGTTATTCTTGCCACTTGTCCCTACATTGGCCGATTTTTTTCCTATATAAACTCTTCTCCATTTCACTTTTTATTAAGCTTGATATTTCTCTGAATTTTTACTTCATTTTTTTTAGGTTTCTATGCTTATGTAAAGCTTTAAAGTACCTCCTTCAAAGTACCCAAAGCGTGTCCTTGCTCACTATGAGATGTTGAAGCGTGTTGAGCTTCCTCCACTGAAGTGCATTTTCATTTCTGGTCCTTGAGAGAAGCTCCAGGCTAACTATGTTGGTTGTGTGTTCTTGTAAGCTCACTATGGTTGTATGTCGTTTAACCAAAGGGTAGAGATTGAAGCATTGCAAAACAGGGGAGTTTTGGTAACTGAGGCTTAATTTCTGACTTTGTAATTGAACTGTAAAGTAAACCTAGTGGATTAGCTTCATTCTGGACTTGGTCCCATGGATGTAGGCATTTTGTCGAACCATGTAAAAATCTTGTGTGTTTTACTTTGGTTTACGTCTGTTGCTTTATGTTTATGTTTAATGGATTCTTAAAATCAACATAGCAACCATTTCACTTAAGTTTTAATTCACTTAGTAAATTTAAAACTTTCAGCTTAGTTTTAGCCGATAATGGATCTCGATTGTGGGTGAATCAAGGACTTTTTTTTGGTGCGTTTTCATTTTTATCTAATCAATACTGAGGTTAGGCACACAACATGCTCGAGCCTATAAAAAATATGTGAATAAAATGAGAAAACATCCGCATTAGCCTGATACCTCGTTTTAGTATGTTTTTTAGTTAGTAATGGATCTCAATTGTGGGTGAATCAAGGACTATTTTTTGAGCATTTTCTTTTCTGTCTAACCAAGACTGAGGTTAGGTAAGTAGCATGCTCAAGCCTATCAAAAATCTGTGGATAAAATGAGCAAAAAA